CCACCGCTACCCACTTATTTCGCTTCCAGCGAATAACTGGGTTGGGCACATTTATCCTTTTCGAGAGTGCAGGGTAGGACGTGACAATTAGTGCTTTTATGTTGGAAAAGCACTAATTGTCACGTCCTACCCTGCACTCTCGGAAAGGATAAATGTGCCCAACCCATTTATTCGCTGGAAGCAAAATGAGTAGTTAGCTATGAATAGTAGCATAGCCGAAAGATGTGGAATCGATGGGTAGTGTAAGGGAGGGTAGTGAAGTGATAATATTAAGATATGCACGAATAGCACTAATTGTTACGTTCGTACCCACACTCGAAGTACTCTTTGAGACTCTCCGAAATGCATTAATGCCATCGTATGCAATGTTAGTGAAATGAACATTTCCCTGCCCTCGTGATTTTATAAACACTACGCGAATAATGAACTTCTCTGTGCCCGTATGACTGATAGGGATATATCAGTTTGATAACTTTGCAAATTGATGTAATATAATAGTGTAAATTAGTAATATAAAAACATAATAATACAATGTGTGTAATAAAAATATAGTTGGCATTATGTTAATGTATTAATAACAATAAACAGTATGATATAAATAAAATTAATATAATATCGTATAATGTAGTATAATATAAAGTTCTGATATACTAGTGATATAACAATATAATAATAAAATATACAAAATAACATACTGTTGCTATAATATAGTATATAATTTTTTCTCCTGAGATACTGCATCCTCTTCCATTTCTTCGTGAGCATTCAGTTCTTTCACTTCGTCCAATTTAATTTGAGCTGTGTCCAAGAAGGATATGAGCGATCGCTCAAACTGAAAAGTTACCTTTTGCAGTCATATTTTAAATTTGTGGCAGAAGGTTTTGCAATCCCTTCTTCAAATCGCCATCAATTTAGAGCAAAAAAAAGTGTTGAAAAGAAAAAGAGAAGTAAAGTAAAAATTACCTGAATTGTTTCCTTTACAAATTCATGTAATTCATTAAACATTACAAGTTCCCTTTTCAGGTAATCAAATACCGCTTGGATACCTTCCATTGGAAGAACTCACTCTGAAAAATAACAAAATTACCAAGGTTTGCACTTAAATTTACTTAAAATGTAATATTACTTATACCAATCATTAATACCTTTTGCTAATCTAATCCAACTATTAAGAAAAAGTAGCGAAAGCGAACATTCATGCAAGTATTTTCCTATATTCTTTTGCACACAGAAAGATTACACACATTTTACTTTATGCGTACAGAGACTATCCAATTCTTTTGCTGTTTACAGAGGATATCATTTGCTCTCTCTTTCTAATCTCTGATACATCCGAATTTGGCATTCTTATATTATCTATATTATCATCCTTGTGCACAAAAAAAAAGAAGTCGATAAGGTCGAGATCTCAATTTTGTCTTTTAAATGATGTAAATTTTTTGAATTTCTTGGACTTTATAAATTTGTTAATAATTAATGAATGAACAATTTTTTAAACCAAATAACTTCAATTGCAATTTATTACTTCTAGTTTGTATCATTTTTAGGCAAATCAATGAGTAACTTTTTCTATGTTCTAGTCTATACATTCCACCAACTTTAGTTAATATGCTTATACCATTATAAAAGTTTTTTTTTTTTTTTTTCATGAACCTTAAAAACAAAATTTTTAAGAACACTGAAATTTTAATAAAATAAAGATATCATAAATGTTTTCATTAGTGGTATCATTTAATCATTGTCACTTAACCATTCATTTTTTTATCATGTTTTTTCACTTTTTTTTCACATCGAAATTTTTAAATAATTAACATCACCTTTTATAAATTTCATGTCAACAAATCCTTAAAAATATTACTCTGAAGTAGTAATAATAAAAAACATAAATTTATGATATGTCGGAAGCCATTCTCCTCATATATCTCACATCAGATGAACGAAATTACTTCATTATTGATCAATAAATCAGTTCTATTAACATTTATCAATTTCAGATCTAATAATTGCGACTGACTTTGACCAAATAATTATCTATGGTTGAAATTCTGTATCTCTCCAGGGTACAAGGTTAAATACTTCCTTCATATCTTCTCTCTTCCAATTATGCTACAGTAATACCACTCCATTTTACTTCTAGAAAGTGAGCACATATGGCGCAATTATCCTTCCATTTCATCAAAGCTGCGCCTACCATCGCATTCAGACTCTTCCGATGAGCGCAAGGAGGTTGTCTTTCATTAAACAAGGAAATT